GCAGGAGTATAAAGGATCAGGGGGAAGAAAAAGTAATAATGAACAACTACGTACCAGAGACATTTTATGGGGGTGGAGTGGGGAGTGGGATTAAAAATGGGGGTGGGGAGTACACTGGGCTATGGTGATGGCACATGGGTGATTTGGTGATGGGAAACCCACAGGCATTGCAACTGAGATGGGAAAGGCACAAAATGATGTAAAAATAAGCTACTATATTATTTAAAAAAAAAAAACCAGAGTGCTGGCACTGTGCTCATATCTGGTCTCTGTGCAAGCTGAGTTAACCTGGCCAGCAGGCAGTTAAAACAGGTTCCCAGGTGGTTATGGACTTGGGTGCTGGGCAGCAGGGTTCTCTCCAGATACCATTTTCACTAGCTAGTTTGGGAATGGGAGACATTCGTTCGATCTAGTGTAATAAAATTGAGCTGCTGCAGAAATAGGGGCTCCTTCCACTTTCTTCCAGTCTGCAGGTAACCCCCATTCCCAGAAATAAGGGGGAAGGTCTCCTCCTGATGATTGTCCTCAATTTCATAGGTGTGAGTTGCTGTACACCTGTACACACCACAGGCGTCGCTCTCTCTCTCTCTCTCTCTCTCTCTCTCTTTCTCCCCTCCATAAGACACAGCCTTGGGCATGGAATGGGGGAGGACTTGCTAGAATACTTTTATGGAATCTGTTAGCCAAGACCTGTAGGCTGAGCGCCACCCATCCTCAGTCCACACAGTTCGTGGCTACCCAGCCTGCCAAGTCCTAACTAAATCTCAGGGGAAGACATGCCACACGAAGAAAAGGCAGGTTGCATCGCCCCAACCCTGCCTTCCTGGACTAAATTCTGGGCTCCCTAGTCACCTGATTTTCCAGAACCAGAGTTCAAGCTGGAACTCTAACACACTGGCATCCAGCCTTTAAGGCCATGAAGGGAGTTACAGGTACAACTGATTAAGCACCTACTAATGAGTCAAGCAATAGGGACATTTTATTTCATTTAATCACTCAATGATCCCATGAGATGAGAATTATTACTTTCATTTGAAAGCAGAACTCTGAGACTTAAGAGAAGTTAAATAACTTTTCCAAGCTCAGGGTCTTTGGAAAAGTGCCAGTAAATGCTGCCATTATTTCTAAGGCTTTTTAGAGTGTGACGTGTTGTGTACTTGCGTGTTCTAATAAGACAAGAGCCAGCTATGGAAGTAAGTGGATATAAGAAATTCCCAGATAAATTCCAGCTAAGAAAATTTTATTTATTCATCAAGATAGGGTTTAAATTCTGTTTGGGGAACCTTTGCTTACTGCTCCATCCTACAAGGATTTCCTACCTTCCTAAATGCTGGGCATGCCTTTACTCTCTTCCAGCATGCATGGGTTTGCCATTCATCCACCACCCCATGTCAGGTTTCCAAGGACGGGGATTGTGGCTTCCAGTGCCTAGAACTAGATGCAAAGATTTCCCTAATTAAAGGAGCTGAGCACTGATGCCTTGGCTTGCAAATCCCATCCGTTTTCAAGATGTGGCTCAAACTGTCCAACCACTAAGCATCTTTTCTAACCTTACCTGCTAGACCTCAGCAGTCTCGTTTTCAAAACTACCCCAAACTACCCCTTTCCATGAACAGAACCTTAATGTCAGTCTCCATCAACCTACCTCCAATTCTGATTCTGTTGTTTCTGAAGTGGCTGATTTTGAGCAAGTCACTTCATCCCTCTCTGTCTCAGCTTCCTCATCTATAAAATGTGAATGAGGGCCCTCCCTGGTGGCGCAATGGGTTAAGGCACAGCATTGCAAGCTAGCAGCAGCAGCTTCAGTGAAGGTTCGATTCCTGGCCCTGGAGGTGATCCACATGGCATGGTAGACCTCTCCTGTCTCGCCTGCTGCTCTCCACAACAGTGTACTTAATTGATCTGCCTCCCACTCTGTCTCTGGTGAGTCCTCTCACCCTCTGCACCTCTGGCCTCTACTCAGTTCTTTATGCATAAATAAATAAATCTTTTTTAAAAAAGTGAATGAATCTATCTGCCTCACAGGGTATGTGAGCTGTTAGTGCAGTAACTAGAACAGCCATGCCCCTCCATGGAAGCCAGCATCACTGCCATTACTCTGTCATCATATGGCATTTTCATGCTTGTTTTTCCTAACCTTCCACAGAAATAGTTCTCAAACCTAGAGGACATAGGAATTATTTAAAATGAAGATACCTAGGAAACAAGCTAAGTGCCCATGCCAGGTGACCATAGAAAGATACAGCATCCACACACACTGGAAGGCACACAGCTGTATTGTTGCCATTTGCAACAGAATGTAAGAACCTAGAAGGTATTGAGCTTAATCACATCAGTCAGATGGAGAAAGACAACACCAGATGATTTCACTTACATGTGGTCGAGAAACCAAACAAAAGGATGAACTAAATAAAACAAAAATAAGCGTTCAGCCCATGAGAACAAATTAGTGGTTACCAGAAAGGAAAGTGGGGTGAGGCAATCAGGTAACAGGGGTCAACTGTGTGGTAATCGACATTTATTGGTCGACTTAATGTAGTATAAGCACAAGGTGATTTTTAATGACTCACACCTGCCATTTGCAAGTTGTCATTCAGTTACATCGGTAACAATCTAAATAAATAAATAGATAAACAGAAAAGTAATAAAGCTACCGAGGCCTCACCACACACCTACAGAATGCTCATTAGGCAGAAGGGTCGTGGGGTGCGGCAACTCAACTTCTAACAAGCCACCTGTCACACTGCCAGTGACTCACACCTGTGCTCTCAAACTTGGAAGTTTTATTTAGATGGTATTTGATTCCCAAATTCCTATCCATGGAACCTCGAGGTTCTAAACACGCACTTCTACACTGGGGGTGCCCAACCTTGATACCTTGATATGCTGGAAATATATCAAGTTTGAGCACAACCCCTTGAGACTCTCAAGGGGTGTGACTAGATTGTCAAGATTTCTAAAAATGGGCAGAGAAGTCTAGAGTTCTGCCAAGCTCCCCAATTATTGCTCCACTAGAATGAAACCTCAGGTTTGTATAATGATGCCTCTGAGGCTTTCACCAGAGAAGCTCAGCATCTGCCTGTATAACAAACTGAGCCTCCATCTAAGCCAGGTTTGTAGAAAGGATTCTTATACTTAAGAAAAAATAAATAGTAAGTTTGACAACAGCTGCTCCAGCCTCTCAGTAAAAGCCTCGAGATCCCACCACCTGGTTCTTATTCACCTTTGTCTCTCCCCCAAGGCCTTACAACATAGTAGATGCTTAATAAATATTTATTGGATGATTGGATGGTTTTGTTTTATTTGTTATCTGGCTCTAATTAAGTTTTCAGTTGCCTAGCATAACAACCTAACAGTTTTTTAAACATCCAAGCCCTCACAGCCTCCTTCTCAAACTTGAAACAGAAGAGTAGAGCAGACAGCCATCCGGGGAACACAATGACATTTCTTCTGGGGTTACATATACTATGCAAGGTCCTAATGACTGATAAGTCTAAGCAAATGTGATTCTTGTAGGCCAGGAAAAGCGTGACATATGTCAGCAGCACAGGCCTCCCAGGCTAATATTTGGACTGTTTCATCTACAAATGTCAAATTATAAGAGCATGATAAAATTTGTAGGAAGTTCATAGTAAACAGTAATTGGCCTCTTGTCAATAAATTAGAAGGGGAAAAAAAAAATCCCTGCTGCCAAAGCAAATGAGCCAGAATGCCTGCAGCCCAGACCTATAGCCAACCAGGGCCTGTTGCCTGGGCATCTCTGCTAGGTTCTCAACCCTGGAGACTGGCAGAGAAATCCTTGAGTGCTTCAGGGTCTGGGTGTCAAAGGCACCACCTTCAAACCTCAGTTTTTCCAGAGTTCTAAGACTCCAATAGAACTTTAACCTCTCAGGTCCTCAGAGTCCTCTTCAAACATCGACTTTACCAGATCCTTCAAGTCATGACAAACAGAGTTTAATTCTAATTCCTTCCACTTCCTAGCTATGTGATCTTGGGGAAATTACTTCTCTGGGCTCTGTTTCCTCAGTATTAAAGTGGGGGTGATAGTAGCATGATAGTATTGTCCATGTAAAGTGGTAAAACAGTTCCTGATAGAGAAAAAGCACCCAATCAAACTTAGCTATTATATATCTGCAATCCTGACCTCGAGTTTTGAAAGTTAAGATTTCATCTTTCCTTTTCATGTTTTTGTCAGTCTGGTATGAAAATCCAGGTTTGAGTAGCAAACCTAAACTTCCTGGACACAAAGCCACGTATGGTCTTTCATCTTACTTGTTGAGACCAGTCATATGTTTCATATGGAGAAATAGCAAGGTGCTTGATTGTGGACAGAAAAGAGGCCATTGTTAGGTGAAACATGCCTTGAATTACTATTCTAACATCTGAACAATTCTGAATTCTAAAATACTTCCGTCATAAGCACTTCAGATAAGAGAAATTATATTTTAGCTTGTGTTTGGAATGAAAGGAGATAACATGCCACGGTCCTGGAAAAGTTCAAAGAATGCTGACAGTTGTAAGCTGGGAACAACTAAGGCTGCAAACATTCAACTGATCCAAAGACTGGAAACTTCTAATCAGCCCTCGGATTAGAAGGCTCCTTGTCTTGCCCATCCTCAGCACGGTGCCTCTCCACAGTCTGCAGCCAGGGGACCTCCCTTCAGCCCTGCCCAGAGGAGCACCGGAACCCAGGTCTGCCTCCCACCCACGCCCTCTTCCTGTCACTCCTCCACAGGATCTCCCTAAGGTTGAAGCTTACGGGCTTTCTCAGAATTAACTTCACTTTGTAGACTATCCAGAACCTTGGAGTGGGCAGGGAGTGGCCTCCATGCTCAACTGGCTGCAAAATAAGTCTGAAGATGAAAGGAAATAGGTGGAGCTGAGAATCTTCCCCGGGTACCAGAAGCAATGCCCTGTTCCCACAGCTGTGCTGTAGAGCGGCGGGCAGAGTCAAGGACAGGAACCTGGGCGAGCAGGTGCCGGGCCAGCAGGGCGCCTACCTTCTGTTGCCTGTGGGTTCGCGGCCCGGGGGAGGCGGGTGCCTGCTACCCCGCAGGAGCGGGCCCTGGCGGCTGGCGTTGAGGCCCACAGGGGCGCGCGGCTCGTCGCGGCTCCGGTGCAGGGGCACAGAGGTGCGCACGGCCGATACCACGTGGCCGGCGAAGGTGCGTGCGGGGGCTACCGGCCGCCGACCCCCGCGCGCGCGGTACGAGCCTGGTAGGCAGGGCCGGGTTTGCTCCATCACGCCACCGCTGCAGCTGCGAGAGCAGGCGGACCACGGGCCCCATGAGCCCCACACGCCAGGGGCGCCGCCGCCGCTGTCCTCCGGGGCGCTCTCAACCGCTGTCATCCGCTGCGGGACCTGCGGAGACAGAGCAGATTAGGAGACCCGAAGTCTTGCTCCTGCTTCGCCCTCAGAGGCGTTGGCTAACCTAGAAAGCGGATCCATTACACACAAGTATGTGCAGGGCCTGTTTAAAAAACCCGATGAACACAATGATATAGGTCAGTCGTGGCTATATTTGTCTTTTTACCAACATTCATCAATTTATTTGTTTTTTAACAGAAGAAGGGACACACGATGGCAAATATGCCTAAGGTCCAAGAAAGTCGTTCACCATTCTGGCTCAGGTGCCATGACCTTGGACAGCTCCCACGGTGCCAGGCAGGCCCTGTGCCCCTTGCCTCCACCACTAAAAGCCCTGCTCTAGAGCCAGGTGCCCAGGCCAGCCATCACATCCAGCAGTGTGAAGGGGAAGTTCCAGAACCTCTCAGCCTCAACTGGCTTCTACAGAAGGATGGAACCTACCCCCCTCATAGGTCTGTAAGGACATTAAGATCAGGGCATCCATGCGTATAGCATTAAATACTTGATTGTAACTATAGTGAATCAGAAAAGGTGGGAAATGTCAGAAAGTTCTAAAGTTCTTGCCAGAGGGTGATTCCATATTCTTGCTCAAATAACTGGTCATTTCTGTGAAATGACTATGCAGGCACTGGGCTCCGAATGAGTGACATGCTGCGTTCCTCACTATGCGGACTGCCCTGAGTACCAGCTGTTTACCAGAACTCAGCCGGATCCTGAGGGTGGGAAGAACATCCCAGCCCACACCAATGACCTGAACCTAGCAGCAGAGCAGTACAAGATGCAGCGAGTATAAGACTTGGGGGTTGCTCATTGGGCACAGGCAGCCCTGGCTGGTGGGTGAGGCATGGAGTGAGGAGTAACCACAGCTGTGGAAATAGCTGTAATGATTTGGATAGAAAGCACCGGTAATCACCAATCCTCACAGCAGCCCTGGCTACTGCCACTCTCACCTACCGGAAGGAAACAGGTGTGTGCCCTCCCTCACTGCAGCTGTCTGAACTCAGGTCTACCCACCTTCCCATATCTGTACACACTGGAACTCCCTGTTCTCTAGTCAGCAGACAGTTACTCTTCACCGTCCAGATCTGCTTGGAATGTTCTTCCCATGACACTGTACAACATTGTATCTTTCTCACATGTGGGTTTTTTCAGTGAATTTTGGGGTTACATCTGAAGTGAAAAAATGCCCCCAGATTATTTGTTTGGACAAGAACTCAAATACCTTTCATAGCTGGGTTCTTCTGTCACCACAGTCCCCTTGCACACTGAGATGGTCCAGGAATTGTCTAGGAAGGAATAAGCTAGGGAGGTTTAGCGCCTTCATACCACATGGAAACGAGACGTGGAGCTAAGATTACCACAGAGGGTGGTTGTGAGGACTTGATGAGGAAACCCACCCAGTGTGCCTGAGGCAAGCACTCAGTCTGTCAGACACTGTAAGAGTGTGCACCAGCACTGTGGTCACCGAAAGGAGTGTCAGAACTGAGGTAGAGAGTTCTTGCTCCAGGTACTCAGTCACTCTGATACCATGAGACTTATGTCAAAGGCTATCTTCCTTCTATTCCATTTCAGTGCAGAGTGGGGTCTGGGTGACCTTTACAGTTTGTTAGACTCCTGAGAGTTCAAGAAGTAACCCATGCAGGATGAGGGAGAGAGCTGAGGCTACCCAAGGAACAAATGAACAACAACCTGGAGAACTTAGCCCAGAGCTAAGTCAGACAGCCAGTCTTTACAAGCCATGTTCAGACAAGCAAGGCGAGAGATCAGAGGCCACACAGGATAAAGCCAGTGAGAGAATGGGTCAGAGCCAGGGCCAGAAAGAAGTGAGGAAGAAGATTCTGGGTGGTTTCTGGCAGTCACAGGAGGACTAGCAGGGCAGGGGCTTGCAAATACTTTGAGTCAGTCACTACTGAATCGGAGACCAAGACAGAAAGGGTTGTCCTGCTACAGACATAAACCAAAACACATAAAAAAACAAGCTTTCATTCTCTCTCCTCCCTGCATGTCCAGATTTGTTATTATCAAACTGATGGACTCAATGAAGGTGGTTGAAATAATTACCTAATCAGGCCACAGTCTGGATATATCAAGCAATACCTAAAGTGTGTGTAGTAGGTTAAATGGTGGTTCACACAAAAAGATATGTGTTTGCCCTACTGACTCCCAGAACTGGTGACTGTGACCTACTTGGAAAAAGATTCTTTTTAAATGTCATTAAGGATCTAGAGATGAGTTCATGCTGGGTCTTCCAAGGACAAATGTCCTTATAAGACACAGAAGACAGAGACACAACAGAGAAGGCCAAATGATCACTGAGGCAGAAATTGCAGTGACGACATACAAGGGGGATGCTAGGAGCCACCACATTTGAAAGAAGCAGGGAAGAAGTCTCTTCTAGAAGGAGTGTGGTCTTGGTGACACCTTGACTTTGAACTTCTGAGGGACTTGACTTTGAACTGTGAGGGAATATAAATCTATTGTTACAAGCCATCAAGTCAGTGGTCATTTCTGTCCACAGTCTTGGAGCCAATACAGTGTATCAGAACCTATGGGATAAGGAAGGGAAGTGGATGGGCACTGCCAGTAGCCTCTCTGTCTGGCACTGGGCACACTACATGGGGGAGTAGGGACAGACTCTGCATGGGCTCTGTGTGGCATGGACACACCTGCTCTAAGTGACACTTTGCACTTCAGCCATTCTGGGAGGCTGGTGCTATTTCATCCATTTAACAGGGAAGAAACAGGCCCCAAGAGATTGTATGACTTCCCACAGCTGTGGGGGTCACAGACAGGACAGAAACTGAGGCCTGTAGACTACTACCCCCATAGCTTGCTCCCACCTGCCTTTACTATTGGTAGAAAATAGAAATGTAAAATGAGTAGAAATCAATCCACTTTGATAGGTCTAGTGGAAGGATAGTTAGGATCAACAAAGGCAGAAGTATGTTTCTGACACATTTGGGGATTTCAGTTAACTATGTCCTGATTTCTCATTAACGTAGATAACCAAGGCATTGTCTATAATATTTGGATTAGACATGCAGCTATACTAAAAATCTACTTCCTAGAACTAATCCCACCCTTAATTTAGTTTCCTATTGCCAATTGGGCAGGGTCCCTGGGGGAAGAAAACATTAAACCACATTCCAGCATATTCCATTCATAAGCATTCTCTCATTTATAGTTGAAATATGGTGAGTGACTTGACATTCCATCTCAGTCCCCATGGTGGGAATCTAACCACATAATTCAAGACTGTATTCTACTAGTGCCTAGCCAGAAACAAAGGGAAAAAATAAAGACAGAGAAAGAAAGGAAGAAAAAGATCAACCAAAAAAATATAATAATAATAATAATAATAATAATAACAAGAGAAGGAGGAGGGCTTCGGATGGTCACCTAGTTAATTCTATCTCCCAATCTTCCTCCACTCCTTCCCAAACTTCCTAAAGAGCCCCCTCCCTACTAATTCTATGACAGTTAAAAAGTTATCTGTGTGGCAAAATGTCCTGAGACATGCATAGACATATTCCTAAAATTAGCACCAGCTAGAAAGCCACTGTTAGTCAGTGACTGAGAGCAAAACCAAAAACTAAATCATGGTAGGAAACAATACCAAACAAATAAAGGAAAGACAGAGTCTGTAACGTATTCCACCTGCCTCTTCCCCAACACACATCTACCCAGGAAACACAAGGACAGAAAGCCCGAGGCATTTCTAGTTTATACCTAAACTGTTTGTCTTCCTCACCAATAAGATTTCTAACAAAATAAGACAAAGATGAACATCTCAAAGGAATGAAGGGGATGAAGGGGATGAACAGGAAGTCTATAGTTGATATAAAATACACATGGGTATCTAAAAATTGCTAGGTTGAAGCCACATTTCCAATATGTTGGTGTTTGGATGAAGGGCATTTGGCAGTTAATCAGCTTTAGATGAGGTCATGTGAGTTGGACCCTGTGATGGGATTAGTACCTTTATAAGAACAAAACACAAGACTAGAACTCTGTCTATTAAGAATACAGAGAAGCTAGCCATCTGCAAGCCAGAAAGAGAAATCAAATCTTGATCTTGAACTTCCCAGCCTCCATGCCTGTGACAGATAAATTCCTGTTGTTTAGCTACCCAATCTATAGTATTTTGTTACAGCAGTCCAATACAATCAATACAACAGGAAAAAAACAACCACCATACAATATATGAAAACTGTTCAATATCACATGTAACGAGAAAATGCAAAATAAAACCAGCAGAATTCCATGTTACATTCACTAGAATGGTAAAGATCATAAAGGTTGATAATACTCCTATGTCAAGACTGGTCACTGTCAATGGACAAACCTGAAGTAACTTCTTTGGAACTATCAAAATTTTCTTTTTTTTTTTTTTTTTAAAGATTTATTTTATTTGTACATACAGAACTGGGGTACAGGCCAGAGGCTCAGGGGTGGCGAGAGGCTTCACCAGAAACAGAGTGGGGAGCAGAACAGGCAGATCAACGAAGTACACTGCTGAGGGGAGCAGCAGGCGGGCCAGGAGAGGTCTGCCACGCCATGTGGTCACCTCCGGGGCAGGCGGGAATCAAACTCATGCGGAAGTGGCTTTAGCTTTTCAGTGCAGCGCTTTAACCCGCTGCGCCACCAGGGAGGGCCGGAACTATCAAAATTTTCAATGCACATATCTTATAGTCCTGCTTATCTACTTTCACTCTATAGATACATTTAAACTAGTGTGTAAAGTTGTATACATAAAGGCCCTCAATGCCTCATTTTTTGTAAGAAAAAAAAAATAACCTAAATGTCCAGCAATAAGAGCATGGTTAAATGAAATCCAATTTGTCCAAACAGTGGAATAAATTTATCTGTCACAATGAAGTAGAGTTATATGTTAAAGTGGATGTTATCCATATCTTAATAATTTATAAAAAAAAAACTCAAATAGCACAATACTGAGAGAATAATCATGGCATCTTTAAACATGTGGTTGAAAA